GCGGAAGGCCGCATGTGGCTCAGCCATCAATGCTGCTGGCGGGCAGGCCTGTGCAGTGACCTTTGTTTGGTGGCTTATTCAGTCAGTGAGAACTCGGTAGTTAAGAACTGACCAATAAAAGAGCTTCTGTGGCATCCCTGTTTTACAAATGAAGAACTGAAAAACTGGCTTCTAAAACTGGGAATGGCCCCATGCAGTTCCGACCTAAATTTGTGAAGTCCTTCCCCTGGGTCTTCACCAGCGGGTCCCGAAGCTGATGCAGCATCACATCGCTGGGCCTCTGAGTCAGAGTTTCTGGGAGTGGGCCCGGGAACCTGCATTTCTCAGAAGCCCTCCAAGTGGCTGATGATCAGCTTGCTCAGGGCACCCTGGGCCACACTGCTCTACTTTCCTCCTGAACCCCTTTCTACCTCACCCTGAGATGGAGTTCGAAGAGCACAGACAGGACCATCCCCGTCCTGCCACTTCCTGACTCTGAGCCTTTGGCCTCATCCTTAGGAAGGCAGGCCCACCTTGCAGGAGTGTCCCAAGGGTCACATGAGCTGCCGGATGTGATGCCTGGAAAAGGCCTGGCACATGATTGGTGCTCCACTGTGTGTGAAGGCACATGGGCACTGGTGAGGTCTCATCTTCACCGAGGCAGGTGCAGTGTCGTCATCCCAGGAGAAGGTTCCAGGTCCCTCCCACCGCCGGGTAAATGGGCCTAAACCAGCTGTGCGTCTGTCAAAGGGGGTTGATTTTGAGGCATTAAGAACATTCTGGGAGAGTTGGGTACATGACCAGGAAGAGCTTGGGTTGCTCTTAAAATTGGGGAGTGGGAGTGTCTTGATTCTAATTAATCTGGAAGTGTCTAATTAGGGAGCCAAAGGAGGGCCATGCATGGTTTTCTGGGATGCGATTAGATAGACCATTTTTCATGAAAGGAAATGCCAGAGGCATTCTTTTTAAAATTTATAATCCTTTCATGATTTGGCAGGTAATTATGATAATTCGGGGATTTTCACAGCCTTAAAAGCTTTTTCACAGCCACATGATTTTTGGAGATAGTCTTCCCTGATGCTCCAGCTGGAATGATTGCTTAGTCGCTAAAGCTCCAAAGGCCTCATCTTCCCAAGCCCAACTCAGATGCCACTGTCTTGGTGATGCTTTCCCTCCATCCCTTATGCCAGGGACACCAAATGGTTGTTGTGGTGTGAGCCAGCACATGGGGGCTACCTGGGCGTCTTCCTGAGGAACGAGTGCTGCAGTCGACTAGTGATGTCTGCCTGGGCCAGACCTCGGGCAAGGGGAGCTGAGCCTGATCTATTTCATCCTTCCCCAGTGGCTGGGCATTCGGGTAGGTTCCAGCATTTGGAACTAAACTCCTGCTCTGAGCACATGTATAAAATACAGAGGCAGGATAACTGCCCAGCAGGGACTGGCCAAGTCACAGATGAGGGATTTTAAAAGTTTGATAGATGTTGCCAAACACCCCTGTGTCTTAAACCTCTTAAATTTTTCTTACCATCTTCTCACCAACCTAAAGCATGAAACCCAAGTGGTGAGTGGTAAGCATTTACACCATATTACTTATGGGGTGTGCATTTTCCAGGCACAACTCCGGAGCACGCCTTCTGTCAGCCAGGTGGGCTCCTTGGACCGTTCAGAGAATCAGGGCTCCATGCTTAGGCCTTGGCCCACACTGGTCAGTGTTTGAAGCTGCGTCAGTGGAGATTAGTGTACCTCCGCTTGGCATTTGCTTTTAATTTGTCACTGCCATTAGTGTTGCCAAATGGCACCTCCTCCTAACTGCTTTCAGATTAGTTTTTAAGGGAATAAAAGTGCAGAGAGTAGACGAAATATGGCAAACTCTCAGAATGGCCCTGAGCATCGGTGGTGCGGAGCACGGTGAGTGCCCACAGTGAGTGAGGGTGCAGAGTGGCTGGGGAGGCTGCCTGGCATGTGCCAAGGCCAACTGGAAAAGTGGCTGCTCAAGGTTTCCTCGGGGGTGGCCTTCCCGACCCCCGTCTTCCTTCCAAGTCTCCCTCTCTCCCTGAGCTTTACCTAATTTGACTTTCAGGATGTGAACCCTTGACTTCCTTCCCCAGCACCAAGAGCAACACCTGGCATATGGCTCCCAGTCCTGTTGGTGGCATTGGCACTTTGGGGACAGTGAGTCTCCACAGCTGCCCCAGCTCCTTGGTGCAGCACATATAGCCCTGGCCCTCTGGCCCTGGGAGCCCTGCTGCCCTCCATTTCCCTTTCTGAGATCACCCAGCATGCAAACCAGCTCTCATTCACGGGCATTCGCCAGGCCCAGACATGGCGCTGGGCCTGCTAGTAGCTCATTTCTGCCACACAGTGGCCCAGGGAGTCGGGATGGTTTTATAGATGAATAGCATGGGCTTGGAGGTGAGTGACTGGTACCAGGCACGTGGTGCTGTGACCAAGCACAGGCTTGTCTTGCACCAGAGTCTGAGTCCTTAACCACCTCTCTCAGCTGCCCCCCGTCAGCCTCTGAGCCTGGGCACCGACCTTTCCTCCGCTGGGTGTGCCTTTCTCTGTCTCCTGGGTGACCTGCCGCTCAGCATGGTTATGGACGATAGGAGACTGAGTGAAAGTCAGTGAGACACGGAGGGAGGGGGCAGAGGGCAGGTCAGAGAGGCTGGTACTGGATCTCGGATCTCGCAGGCCTCTTATGGCCTCCGGACAGTGGGAAGCTGTCCGACCTTGTTTGGGAAGATCGCTCTGCCTGCTTGGCTGAGAATGAATTGGAGGGCACCTATTGCCTCTGTCTGTTCCCTGCGATTCTCTGTAGCTGTTGAAAATGAAGAATGAGGTCAGATGACACCTGTAAGTGCCCTCAGAACCTGTAGAAATTCCAGCCGGCCGTGGTGGTGTAGCCTGCCTTTATTTTTGTGACAATAGGAGCTATTTGTGATCTCAGATTCCTCTTCCAGGGCTCACTCTGAGTTTCGAATTTATTTCTAGTTATTCTAGAATTTGGAAAGTGTTATTTGAGGACAATTAAGTTCACTACAGTTTTGTAAGATGAAAGCTGTTTACATCAATGGCTCTATGTAGGGATATATGATCTGAAAATTCAGAATCTCAGAGCTGAGCTTAATAACAACGAGCACTGCAGGCAATGGCTGCGGGAAGTGATTTCATCCAATGTTGTGTCCGCACTGCCATCGGATTCCATCCCATTCCCTAGGGGAATGAAAGCCCTCCCTGACGTGGTCAACTCACGTTCCCGGCTGAAGACGAGAAGCAGGGTTTTGACAGCTCACCATAAACACCACTGGAGGCTGGGATGTTTTGATGTTTTATGCATTTATGGGAAATTGTTTTAACATGCTGGCTCCCACTGAAGAGCAAAATAAAAACAAAGCAAAAGCCTGCTTTGCATTGGAAGTGAGGGTGGCGTTTATTTAAAGCTTGAATTTGTGGGGGCATAGTAGCAGGCATTCAGCATTAATATCTCCAGTCGCGTGTTTCCTGCTAACGGGGAGGTAACTGGATGCTCAGCCCGAGGAAGCTCACGCAGGGTTATGTGGTTACCACGTGGAGAACACACAGGCATTGTTAGTGGTGCTGTATTTATTTGTGAAAAGCCCAGGCAGATCCTGTTCAGCTGCTTTTATACAGAAGGAAGAAGGCAGCGGAGAATATTCACTTGAGGTCTGTACAGGGAAGCAGGCTGTGTGCAGGCTCGGCGGCTCGTTCTCCCTTGCTCATTGCACAGTCTTGCAGTGTCTTTTGTGCCACGTGCGCTGTGCATTCCACAGGGCTTTGAGAGTGGGCACCTGAGGGGCAGAGGGGTGCCCTTCCTAGACTGGGGCTCCCACAGCAAGTGTGGCGGCCTCAGGATTACAGCCAGAGCCTCACACTTTTCACACTGGTTTCACCGTGGCTCCCTTCAGCTCCATGTGAAGAGTTTTAATTCTTTCTAAGAGTCTAAGTGGTAATTCTGGCTGATAAATGAAAGAGTGCACCTTATTAGCAAACTAAAAGCAAGGAGGAGTAGAAAGAATGCACCTTGAGGAATGTTAATATTCCGATGTATGTCCTTTTTTGCCTTTTAGCCTATATATAACAACCTGTCCAAAAAAAGGAGAGCTCCCTTTATCCCTCCTGAGGCATTAAGAGTTGGGTTAACAATCTTTTTTTTTTAATACATTTTTATTGATTTCAGAGAGGAAGGGAGAGGGAGAGAGAGATAGAAACATCAATGATGACAGAGAATCATTGATCAGCTGCCTCTTGCATGTCCCCTGCTGGGGATTGAACCTGCAACCTGGCATGTGCCGTGACCAGGAATGGAACCGTGACCTCCTGTTTCATAGGTTGACGCTCCACCACTGAGTCATGCCAGTTGGGCAGCAATCCTTTTTTAAAAAAGCGTCTTCTAATATCCCTTCTTATGTCTGACATTACATTTTTTTATGGTTTTCAGAACCCAGGCCCCGAGGAACAGAAATGGTCAGTCATTCTAATTGTGCCACTAGTGGGACATAACTCAGATTAGAAAGAAAACTTTGGCTAGAAAAGTGTTCATTAATAATAAAAGCCTAAGGTACAAAAGTGACCTGATACAGCCGTGTTCTGACCATAAATTGTGGACTGTCGATTCCATAGTGTTAAAATCAACCAAGTATGACTACAAGAAGCTCACTTTAAATATAAAAATAAGTTAAAAATAAAAAGTTTGGAGCCCGGCCAGCATGGCTCAGTGCTTGAGCTTCAACCTATGAAACAAGAGGCTAGAGTTTGCTTCCTGACCTGATACAGCCGTGTTCTGACCATAAATTGTGGACTGTCGATTCCATAGTGTTAAAATCAACCAAGTAAATAAATGTTCTGCACGGTTGGATTGTGTAGCTCGTAGGTGACCAGTGTTACCTCTCCAGCCCAACGACCCCTGAGGCCTTGCTGACAGGTGTGGGCCCAGAGGAGGCGGGAGAGTCCTGGGGAGGCTCTGCCCTCGGAGCCTCACTGTCTGGTCTCGTGTGTTCCAGGTGGCGGAGATGCACGGAGAGCTGATCGAGTTCAACGAGCGCCTGCACCGGGCCCTGGTGGCCAAGGAAGCCCTCGTGTCCCAGATGAGGCAGGAGCTCATCGACCTCCGGGGGCCGGTGAGTAACTCAGGATGCCTCGGCTGCGCAACTCTGCCCTGTCTCTGTCTGTCCACCCAGCCCTTCCTGCCCACAGCCCCGATGCTTAGTCTGTTCATTGTTAGCAACGTGAAGGGACAGAGACTAAAGAGTGGGCACTCATGTGCCCAACATCCAGCTTTTCTGTACATTAACCTTTAACCACATTTGCTTTCCTTTTTTTAGGTAGGATAAAATGAATAAAATAAATGCTACAAATTCTATTGACGCCCCTTTGCAGCATTTCATGCCCCTGCCCTCGTTGTCAATGATCTGAGGCTGGCATATAGCCTTTCCCTGCATGGTTTTATACTTTCCTACGTAGATAAATTCCCATGAGCAGTAACTAGTCCTGGTTTTGTGTAACTTTTACCTACATGGTATTACTCGTACATATCTCTTTGCCCCTTGTTTTTGTTTGTTTTTAATTCAGTACTATGGTCTAAGGACCATACAGCGGTAGACCTAATATAGAGATTTTAAACTGTGCCACTCTGGATAGTTAGGGCTGTATAATTTTTTGAAGGGGGTGAGGAGAGGGGTGTCCTGTGTATTGTGGGATGTTTAGCTGCATCCCTGATCGCTACCCACTAGAGGCCAGTAGCACCCCACCCCGTCATGGCAACCAAAGATGTCTCCAGACATGGCCACATGTTCTCTGGGGGACAAAGTCACCCTCGTTGAGCTCCTGATTGGGTTCATTCACTTTCTTGACTCTTTAGTACTCTGCTAAATGAAATACCACATTATTTTTAATCCAATCTCCTGTGCTGACATTGAGATTGTTGCCAGTACTTAGCTATTACGCACCATGCTACAGAGAGCATTTTGTCCTTTCAAACACATTTATAATGGTTTTTCATCTAGAAACTTTTTGTTATGTCAAATGTTAAATGCCCAGAGGTGGGAGGTTGGTATAACACATTTATGTATCCATTGTACGTACCCATTAATAATAAGTTGAATTATTATTAATCCTGGCCAATCTTTTTGAAGCTACCCATGCCTACTTCCCTTTTCTGTAGTATTTTGAACCAAATACTGGATATTTCATCAATAGACATCTCTCTCTGTCTCTTTCTCTCTCCTCCTCTCCACACACACACACACACACACACACACACACATATGAAAATATAATTATGATATCACTGTCATTTCTCCATTACCAGTAATTCCTTTATTTCCTCAAATATCAGCCCTGGCCAGTGGTTAAGTGGTTAGAGCACACCTTGCCCTCAGGCCCACTCTGCTCAATCACCCCCGTCAGACAGCTGGGGTGAAAGGAAGGAGGAAATTTCAAGTTCCATAACAGATCTGGAGCCTATCCTCCTTTTAATTGTGAGAGGCATTTGTCCTGGGAATCTCAGCCTCTCTTCCCTTCGTTTCCACTTGGCCTGGCTTATGCAATGCAGACCCTGGATTAGACTCCCTCCCAGACCTACAGTGTTTGAGCACCTCAAGGGCAGAACTGTGTCTCTTTATTTGGAAACCTCAGTTTCCTCTTCCATCAATGGGGAGTCACGTGGCAGCAGCCTCTTTGGGCAGTTTGTTGAGATGCTGCCAATAAAACAACTCCATGGTGGGATGCGGTCAGAGCCCCACCCAGCTTTCATCTCTAAACCCCAGCGCCTAGCACTGTGTGGGTGCTCACTAAATGTTTGTTAAGTGCGAACTTTATTTCATAGAGCAGAAAATGACCACATGGACCAAATAATCTTTCTTAAAGATAGGGGCGTTGTTTCTTCTCATAGACTTTTAAGCTAAAGAACTTATTTTAAGAAGGAGTTTGGGATTTAGGGTTAAATTTTTTCCTTTTCTTTCTCTGAAAGTATTTTTAGAACTCTCGCCTCATTATTCCGAGTCTGTCCCCCCTCCCCCCCGCTCCCCCCGCCCCATATAAGATGTGAATGAGTGCTGGAGGTTATTTTGTTTTGTTTTTACCTTTTAACAAGATTTGATTACAGCCCTGAAAATTCTCTGGGACAAGAGCTCCTATTTTGCATAATAAATGGAGACAGGGTAATAGAACCTGTAAGACATAGAGGTCAATTAAGGTTGCAGCACAGGGAAAGTGGAAGACGAAACAATTCACTAAACGAAGGTTGTTCTCATGGGGGAAGCAAACTTGGTCTCACTTTGTATAATTGCAGCGGATTTTCCTTTTTTCTTTGGTGGGTCTCTGTTCCAACTGCCTTCGAGTGGCTCACTCCACTTAAGCGAAGCGATGGTCCAATGTGGTCTGACCTGAGGTTTCTGTAATAGCTGCCCTGACTCAAAGCATCAGCCCGTCGGTTTGTTCCTCCTGTCACTGCTCTCCCCTCTCCCCTCCCATGCTTGTGTGGGGAGGGAACCGCCTTGGCTAGCCATTTACCATGTGCTTGGGGTTGGATGCATTTTTATCCTCTCCCCCTCAGAACAACCCTCTGTTATTTATTAGATCGATTTTTCAGCTGAGCAAACTGAGGTGCAGGTTGATTTCAAGGCATGACTTACCTACCCCAAGGCCTACAGCTTCCTGGTAGCACTAGAATGCTTTAACACCATGGTGCTTACTCTTCTCTCTTTCTCTCTCTCTCTCTCTCTCTCTCTCTCTCTCTCTCTCTCAATTTCAAGGAAAACTTAGTGTCTATTTTGCTCTAGGCATGACACTCTGGGTGGTTTTAAAGATACAGGTCCCTGATGGAACAAGATTGAAAATCTTGGATTGAAGGGTGTTGAATAGGTTTCTCTGCTGTAGGACTTCCCCCCAGAGTGCCTCATGGCTCTCGGAAGGGGTAGATATAGCACATACATTGTATGTGTCATTCCCACAATTATTTCCCCAAGGAGCATCTTTCCTAAGGTGCTTTCCAAGGTGTGCATGTGGGAAAGGTAGGGCCACGTTGCATATCATGTCAGTTCCCCATGCACCAGCTGGCAAGGAGGTCGTGGAAGCCTGTTTTGTCTCATGAGCTGCCTGGGTATGGGATCCGCGGGGCGTGGAGGAGAGGAGGTGACATTGTGTGGCTGTGGGTGCAGTGAGCCTGCCCTCCGTCCGCTAGCGGTGACCAGCTACATTCAGTCCGGGTCCAGCTGGCCTCCTCCTCACACCCCGCTGGCCTGGGTCTCAGTCATGTTTGCAGCACTGGACCCCGGGCACTTGGGGCCTCTCCCACGTTGCCTCTCAAAGGCCAGGTGATTCTGAGTTTCTCCCATGTGCTCTCTTCTCCTTCTTGCTCTGTTTCTGTGTTTTATCTGCCGTTTAGTTTCTTCTGTTGCCTCTGTGTGCTTCTCTCTCTTTATTCCTCTCTCGCTACCTACCTCTCTCTCTGCTTCCCTCTGCTTTGCTTTCTTGGCCTGCCTCCGTCTGACTTCATCTCCACTCTGCCTCTCCCTTCCTGTGTGCCTGTTGGCCGCAGCCTGTCTCTGTTTCTCCCTCATGCCTGAATCTTTCTCTGCGCCTGCCTCTTTCCTTCCCATTGTCTCGAGTGCCATAAGCTTACATCACTCTAACGGATGATAGCTGCTGCTCATTGCAGTGTCTTGGAGAAACCACAGGTCCTTTCATTTCTTCATTGCCCGAGACTTTGTGTGTAGCACGCGGTCCTGTGATGGGGCTTTCAGTGGGATCCACTCCCACAACAAACGCCTTCGCAGACCTTTGCGGTGCTCCAGCGTCTGTCACTGTGTAACCATGTTGTGTTGAATTTTCTGTCTTTCACCTGTGGGCTGAGGACAGCTTCCCTGAGACAGGGACTGTGTTCACTCCCTCCTCTCAGAGGCTGGCACACGGTCACATGCAGGTATGATGGTTGAGCCTGACCTCGCACCTGTAGTGTCTATGGTGACACTGTTGGCCACACATTTGCTGACCCAGAAAGGTGCCTTCCTGGATCCTGCTGGATAAGAGACTTGCCGTAAGCTGCTTGGCATTTCCATGGGTCTCCTTCCTGCCACTGTTGAAATGACTGAGCTGGTGGGGGAGAAAGACAAGTAATTAAAAATTCAGGAGGGAGATAGGTGAAAAAACTCATCCCAATTTTGTGATAAGGTTCGCTTTGAGAAAAAATGCTTCCTGGGACTTTCTTGGTATCTTTAAAACCTTCAGAGGAAGCCTGCTCATCTGAAGACTGATGCTGTTTAAGTCAGGATAATAGGAGATTTAATAAGAGATGTATTGTTCAGCTGGTGGCACTTGTGGACTATCTGGCGATCAAGCACCAAACTGGCTGTGGTCCCACCGCAGCTCAGCGCCACGTTCCAGATCCCAGGCGGCTTTGTAACCCGGCACCGGACACTGTGTTCCGATTGCCTGCTGTCTTGGAGGAGATTATTTTCAAAAGTGCCGTTAAAGAGAGGCTGCTAAAAATATGTCTCACATAGAGGCTTAGCTCAGAAATACTCATTTTTGACACAAATCACCTGGAAAGATGCTTGCAGAACGCATTTGGGCCCACCCAGGGTGTTCTGTCCAGGGGCAAATACCCCACGTGACCACATGCCCCTGGACGCTAAAGCAGATACTTTCTGTACCTCGGAGGGCTCCCGGGTCACAGATCTTTCCTCCCACATGTGCTTGTGATGCACTCTCGTCCCGTTTACACCTGGCTTGCTCGTCACCGTGGGTAGCTGGGCCCCACTGGGGAGCTCAGGGGGCTACAGTGTAGGGTTTGGGTGGGCAGAGCCTGGCTCCCCAAGGCTTATGGGTATGGGACTTTAAAGTAACATTTCCATTAAGATGAGAGTTGTGTGTCTGTTGGCAAGTGCAGTGTGTGCTAGCTGCCCACAGCTGGTCCCTTACGTTGCTACAAATCGGAAGCACTGGCAAGGAACAGAGTTATCAGGGTTTATACACTCCGTGCTCCATGCTGACCAGCTGTGGGGCAAGGGAGGAATTTCCACACCTGCTTAGTCTGCCTGCCGGTCACTTGTGTTTCTTGTGGTGTCACATACAAAGTGTGGGGTACACGGTGGGGATGTGGCAGATGTGGACATGTGGA